AGGGGCCCGGCCAGTGCCCACACCTCGTCCCTCTGGGGCAGGTACGGACATGAGCTCTGGTCAGGGAGGTGCACGGGTCAGCGTTTGTCGAGGCCACCGGCGGCATCCACGACCACGTTCCTCACTCAGCCACATCTGGGCGGGGGCTGGGCAGGGAGCCGCCCTCCTCCCACGAACCCTGCACAAGCCCCAGTCCCCGGTGGGGTGGCGGTCTGCTGAGGCGGTCCCTCCGGCCAGCTGGGCTGCGGGGCAGGCACGCCCGGAGCCTGGTCCTCCGGGTGCTCACACCTGCCAGCGGCTGCCTGAGCAAATCCCCTCGCCTCCCCCCGACCTCGGCCCCGTCCGGGAAATGGAAGGAACCAGGCGGCCGAGCGCCAAGGCTCCCTCAGCCAGAGTCCTCCTTCCTCCTCCCCGTCCTGCCTCCGGCTCCTGGGGCAGCCATTCCTCTCGGGCAGCAGGGCCTCGGTTTCCCCACTTTGCACAACAAACAGAAGCCCCCCGCGCCGTGGGCTGGAGTTTGGGTGCAGTGAGCTGGGCGGGGCTGGTCCCACAGGGCACCCTGCGTCCACAGAGCGGGGTCCAGGCTGGCACCTCATGCCGGCACTGAGCCCGGGGCTCTGTGCGGACACGGAGAAGTGGCTGCCCCCGTGGGCTCCCTGGCGGCTTTGAGGGTAGAAAATGGGGGGAAGGTGGGACCCCGAGTGTCTGTGGGGTGGAGGACCCACGGACAGCAGTGTCCCACTGGGTAGGAGGGGGGGACCCACCCAGCCTGGTCAGGGCTGGGCGGTGAGCAGGGCTCTGGGCAGCCATCCTGAGCGCCACCTGGGTCCCCAGGACCCACAGGCGGCTGGAAGTTGGGCACCTGGCCCAGCACCCAGCATTCTGTCACCTCTCGGGCTGTCCTGCCTGCAGAGGTGAGTGGCTAAGAGCCACCAGCTGTCACCGCACCACTCTCCCTCCCTCCCCTCCAGCGCCCTGAGTGTCGTGATTATTGCTACTACTTCCGTTACAGGGCGGCCCCTGACAGCCGCGGGGCTCCGAGACCCCCTCCCCCAGGGGCGTCCTTGGCGCACCCGGCCTCCTGGGGTGGGGCGCGGTATTGAGCCTGGGTCTCCCAGGTCGCCCTCGGCGCCCGCCCCCGTAGAGGGGGCGCCTCCCCGCAGCTTCCCAGCCCCTCCACCCTGGGCAGTTCCACTGCGGCAGCGGCGCGGGGAGGGCGCGGGGTGGTGCTGCGATGGTAGCTCCCGCCTCCTGCCGCCGCCGCCGCCGCCGCCGCCGTGCGCTCCCGCAGGATGGCGCGGGCCAAGCTGCCGCGCTCGCCATCCGAGGGCAAGGCGGGCCCCGGGGGCGTCCCCCCGGCCGGGGTCTCAGCCCCTGAGGAGCCGCACGGGCTCAGCCCGCTGCTGCCGGCCCGTGGCGGGGGCTCCGTGGGCAGCGACGTGGGCCAGAGGTAGGGGCGCGGGCCGGGGACCCCGCGCGCCACCACAACCGCCGCTGGGAGGGGCTTTTGCATCCTGGCGCTTTCGTCCTGCACGCGCTCCGCTGGACTGCACGTCGCCTGCAGCCTCGGGAACGGGCGGGGGCGGTCGGCCGAGTTTCCCCTGGACCCCCCACTTAAGCTCCCAGACCCCCCAGTGTGTCTCCAGCCTGCCTTGGGGACCCTGTGGGTCTCCCTCTCTCCTGCTCTTAGGGGCTAGCGCAGTGGGCTGGGCAGTAAGCCCAGAGGGGAGAAGGGGAGCGGGATCTGGGGGCTGGTCCCCGTGGCTCCGCAACCCCAGCGGGAGCGGGTCCCCCTGGAGACCACACTCACAGTGGCCCCACGGAAGCTGCTCGGATTGGAAGAGGCAGGGCGGGTATCTGTGTCCCCACTCAGAGGTGGCCCAGGGAGGCCAGGAGGCTGGCGGAAGGCTGCCCAGCAGATTGGAGCTGGGCCAGGGCTCCATTCCCCATGGGAGCCAGGTCCCTTTGGGGACAGCCCACTGGGCCGGGCCTGGCGACCCACTCCGGGCCCCTCGGTGAGTGCAGGTGGGCGGGCAGGACCGGCACCCCCACGGCGCGGATGAGGGCCCTGGGGCTCAGCCGCGGCACTCACGGCAGCCGGCGCCTCCCCTGTGGCCGGAGCCCAGGACCCGGGCTTCCCTGGTGTGGGCCCGGACACCTGTGCCTGGCAGGCTCTTGAGCAGGTTCTCAGCCAGGCAGATGGCCGGACCCAGGGTGCCCGGGGAGCCTCTCCCCTGCCCCTCCCACCCGGCCACCCTCACACCCGGTTTCCTGCTCCTCCGAGCCCCCTGGGGAAAGCTGGTACCCAGCGTGTTCCCACTGGCCCAGGAGGCCGAGGCTGGACAGTAGTAAGTGCCTCTAATAGGCCTCGGGGACCAGACTCCTCTCCATCTTCTCCCTGGGTCCTCTGGGCAGGGCCTCCAGAGGCTCTGGTTACAGCCAGCCTGGCCCCTTAAGGGCTCAGCTTCCTGCACGGTCCCGCTCCCGCAGGGATGGCAGGTGCTGCCCCGGCTGCATCTGAGCCCGCAGTGCAGTGTGGGAGCTGCAGCTTCGGGGCCACCTCCTCCAGGAAGCCCTCCCCCATTGCCCCTGTCCTGTGCTGGCCCTTTGCCTGGGCAGCCTCACTCGCTCAGCCCTCCCGCAGCCCCTGGTCAGCCTCCTCTCGCAGAGCAGAGGGGCGAGAGCCATCCACAGCCTCCTGCCGCCTGGGGCCCTGGGGCCCGCTCTCCCCAGGGGTTGGAGGCCTGTTGTAGACAGAGCAGTTGGGAGCCACAGAAGGTTCCTGAGCAGAGGGGGACTTGCAGGGTTTGCGCTTTAGGAACACGGGTCTGATGGGGCTTCCAGCGAGACCCGAGTAGGGAGGTGGGTGCCCTCTGTCACAGGAGCTGGCAGCCACAGCTCCTGCAGCTGCCCCTGTCCCGCAGGCCCGGCCGCCTTCTGGAGCCAGCCAGAGTCATGGCTCACCAGGCCCAAGGTCCCCAGGGCAGCCCAGAGCCCCCAGGCCTCAGCACTGCTGAGGGGGCAGCGAGCGGAGGGACACAGCCGTGGGGAGACGCCCTGCCCGAGCCCCAAGGCCGCACACCCCACCTCCTGGATGCCGGGGGGGGGGGCGGGGCAGAGGGGGCCAGCGTCAGTCTCCTCATCTCCCAGCCTGGACTCCCCCAGCTGGGAGCGCATGGGCCCTCCTTTTTCCTCTGCCCCCTGCCCCACAGTGTGGGGTGGGCTGGGGGGCTGGTTAGAAAGTGTGGCCTGGGGTACAGGTAAGGAAGCCCATCATGCGAAAGCTTTTGAGCCAAAGGGCCAGTGTGGGGGCAGGGGCGGCCGGCCGTGTACTGAGCACCTGGTGGGTTAGGGCTGTGCCGGGCCCCTCCATGTCCCCAACAACCTGGAGCTGGTGGCCTTGCGCACAACCTCACACCTGCTGGGGCCCAGCGCCAGGCGCACTGACCTGGAAGGAAGGAAGGACTCGGGGGAGGGAGGGGCCGTGAGGCTGGAGAGGAAGAGCTGGTTTCTCCGCCGCTCTCCCAGGCCTGGGCTCGGCCCTGGTGAGGGGCTCCCTCGTAGATTGTGGGAGGGGACACCTGGAGGAGGCTGGAAGGCATGGTGGCGGCCTGGGAGAGAAGAAGGGGGTGCAGAAAGAGCTGGGGTGCGGAGCTGGGGTCTGAGCATCGGGGGTCATGGCTGGTGGGGGGATGAGTTTGGGGTTCGGAGAGGCACAGCAGGGGACGAGCCCCAGAGGCAGGACCCAGACTCGGTAACGGGGACCTCGTGCGCATGTGCGTGGGGCCACGGGCCTCTCCAGGACCCCCGTGTTCAGCGTCACGTGTGAGCCGTGACCTCAGGCCTGTGAGAGTGCAGCGGCGACAGACAGAGCCCCCATGACCACCTGCCCGGTGTCCTGCATTCAGGGGATGGCGCTGGGACCACCTCACCCCCCCACTTCCTGCAACCCTCGCCTGGACACGCTCCACTCCCGAGTCTTCTCCCCCGCCAGCACCCCCCACCGGCCCTGGGTGAGCTCCTGGTCCCGCTGCCGCGGGCTGCGGCTCTGCCAGGCGCCTGCCGCCCCTTGGTGCAGCTGTCGCCCCGACCCGGAGCCAGGGCAGCGCCTGGGCCGGGGAGACAGAACTGGAGCCGGACAGACACACAGAATCTGCCAGGAGCTCCCAGGGACGCCGGGCGGCAGTGGCCCAGGCTCTCTGCCCTGCACAGAGCCCCACACTGCACCCCCCAAGACCTCACCCACCCAGGCACCAGGATTTGGAGGCTCTGTGGTGGGCATGCGCCTGTGACCCCTCCAGGCAGGCTGGCCCCTCCTCTCTGCTGCGGCCTCCTCAGGAAGGCAGTGGTCCTTCCTCTGTAGCCTTGGTTTCCCTTCTGGGGGGCGGGGGGTGGCCTTGAGGGTGCACAGGGGGCCCTGGAGTCCTCCGGAGGAGCAGACCCTGCCCAGCCCCCACCCCAGGCTCCCACCAGCCCCCTGCAGGCCCCGCTGGAGGCGGCTCCCAGCCTCGGCCTGTTCCTCGGGGCAGGGGAGTGGGGGAGTCAGTGGGCTCCAGGAGAGGAGCCCCACCGTCTCATCCGGCCAGGGGTCCTTTCGGGGACCGCCCTGGCTGCCCTCAGCTCCCTGGGTGCAGAGTGGGGCACACGGTGCCCTTTCCCGGTCGCCGGGGTCCCTCGGTGCCCGGGCAGGCTGAGGGGGCGGGGGGCGGAGCAGGGACAAGCGAGCATGGCCAGGCCTGCTGACCGGTGCCTGCTCGCACCTGCTCGCACCTGCTCACCGGACTGGAGGTGGGTCATCTCGGCGTCCGTGACCCCGTCGGCCCGGCAGGGGTGCATGCGCTGGGCCCTGGCGTGCTGCTGCTTCTCTCCGGGCTGCGCGCGTGGGCACCCCCTGCTGCCCGGACCCTGCCTGTCTGGGCCCCCGCCTGGCCCAGGAGTCGGGCCCTCTGTCCCTCCGTCCGTCTTCCACGTTGACCCGCCCACCTGGTGTCTGCCCCCAGGCTTCCTGTGGAAGATTTCAGCCTGGACTCTTCCTTGTCTCAGTAAGTGTCCTGCAGGGGAGGGGTCCGCAGCGGGGACAGACGAGTGTCCTCCCGCCAGCCCTCTGGGAGGAGGGTGGCTCGGGCCCACGCCGGCCCTGGTGGCGGCCCCACTGGGCCCCCTGCAGCTGGCGAGGGCAAGGTGCAGCCCGCCAGCACCCCTATGGGTGTTGCTGGCTCTGAGGGCTGGGGACTCAGGCAGGTGGACCCCCGGGGAGCAGCCCGGGAGTCGGAGATGGGGTGGACCCGAGGCAGCTGCGCCGGGACCCCCGGTAGTGGTAGCCGTGGGTGAGGATGGGGACCCCACCCTGGGGCCTATGTGGGGACAGACTGCTGGGACCCCAGCCTCCACCCTCCCGGGCTGGCCATGCGGGTCCGGACCCTCAGGTGTGGGCGGGGCAAAATGGGGCTGCCCCGTCCCCCGGGTTTTCCTGGTTTGGGCGCCAGGTCGCACGCAGGGCGGGCGTCAGCCTGGGGGACCGGAGCCTGTCGGAGCAGCCAGGTCCCCGCGTTCGGCGATCGCTGGGACTGCCCGGCGGGGCCTGATGGCTAGTTTCACCAGTTAGCGGCACCGGTGCCTCCAGCCGCTGCCGCCGGCCTCCCTGCAGCCGGGGACTCGAGGCTGGGCCACACGGTCTCCCCGGCCTGGTCCCGTGCCGTGGGGCGCAGTGGCGGATGTGAAGGGCACCCCCACGGCAGCGGGTCAGAGCCTGTGGCAGGAAATGGGGGGTCTGCAGTGGCCTGAGGGGCCAGGCTTGGGGCCTCGGTGTCCCCCTTGGTCACATGTAGAACGGAGGTCCCCCAGCCCAGGGCACCTGAGCAGGGACCTGCTCAGACTGTGTCCGCGGGCCCCAGGCCAGGGCAGTCTTGCTCCGAGAAGCCGCTGGCCGCCCTGCCCGGCCCCCCGAGCCCCCGTCCTCGGTCTCCCAGGTGCTGAGGAGGGTGCCCCACGGTGGGGTGGTGGTTTGTGGTGCGGGGGTTGGGGGGCTACCCTGGAGCCGAGTGGCTGGGGAAGCTGCACTGCGGCCATGGGCCAGGGCTGGGGGACAGCCTCGCTACGCCTCTTCCACTCCCCTACCCTTCGAGGTAGACCCAGACCCCCCACACTGGGGAGGTGCTGGGGGGACACGGAGAAGGAGGAGGGTCCCGAGCAGGGGTCTCTGCTGACACCCCCACCAGCCCCTCACAGCAAAGCCTGCAGGCTTGGGCTGAGTGTGGTGGGGCGAGGCAGCCTTCGTGCTCCCCACTGGCCCCAGTGCCCCCCACCCCACAGTTCCCCCATCCTCTGGGCCCCTAGCCCCGGCCCTGCCAACCCACCTGCAGGACCCGGGGCTGTGCAGGGCAGGCAGGTTGTGCCACAAGTCTGTCCGCACCCAGCTGGGCTGGTCACAGGCGCTGCCCGGCCTCAGCATAGCTGGCCTGGGCTGGTGGCTGGGCCTGGGCCCGCTGGCCCCACAGCCCCGTGGGCGGAGCTCCGGCACCTGCCAGAGGCCCGCCGCGGCGACAGGCCCGGGGAGGGAGGCAGTCTGACCTTGGCCCCATGTGAGTGCGCGCTGCTGTGGCCTGCCGGGTGGCCCACCCTCCCCATGTGTCCGGTGCCCAGCCTGCGTTTGGAGCTAACCGCCGGCACAGGCCTTCTGCGCTGTAGCCCCTGCCAGGAGTCCCTGTGCTGACGGTCCCTGGGTGGCCTGCCCCTGGCCCGTGGGTTGGAGAGCTGCAGGTCCTGTCCTGGTGGGGGGTGGGCGCAGAAGGGGGCCTCCTCAGGTCTCCCCGGTGCGGGCAGGACCCTGGACACAGGCGGGCGGCCGGCCTGCTCGGACTCCAGCCGTCCGGGCCTGGGGCAGGGCTGATGCCTGGGCCCCTGAACATTCTGGAAGCCCAGGCCCCACGGGTGAGCTGGCCGGGCTCCGGCCTTGGTGGACCTGCTCCCTGCTCGTAGGGATGGGCTGGCTGGAGCCCTCTGAGGGGCCCCGCCTGTGGCAGGGCTGGGGGAGGTGGCTCCCCGTCTGCCCGGCCCCCGGCTTGTCCTCACCGGCCCGGTGAGAGCTGCTCGCTCAGAGGCCAGGAGAGGCCCGGGCTGAGGACTGTGCTGGGACGGGGCCAGGGGCCATATGAGGCCAGGCTCCCTGCGGCCTCTGGCTCCGAGACCGGGCCTGCCGGCGGCACACCTGCTCTTGACCTTCCCGGCCCCACAGTGGGTGGCAGGCAGCAGCCCCTCCGGTGTGCCCAGCGCCCCGCCCCCCCGCACCCCCAGCCTCCTGCTGAAGGAACCCACGAGTGAGTGAGTGCGAGAGGGAGAGCGAGCGGACACCTGGGAAGGAGCCCACTGAGCCCCGCCCTCGCCGGGGCCCCGGCCGGTTTGCAGGCAGCTCCCGGTCCAGCGCCAGGGCCTGGTCACCGTCACCGTCACCGTCACCGCCTGGCTCCTCCGGGCCCCGGCTCCAGAGGTGCTGCTTCCTGTGAGCTCGGTCACCGGCTCCCCCACGGGGCCCCAAGTCACAGCTGGGCCGCCGGGGGGGGTCCCCGCAAAGGGTCACTCCTCGGCCCACCGCCCGTGCATGGGGGGCATCGGCCAGGTGTGTCCCGCAGCCTCACCCGTGGGTTTACGACTCCGGGGCCATCTTTCCGGGCGACGGGCGACGGGTGCAGGCTGGCATCGGGACACGGGTTCAGGGCGGCCCTGGTCGCTGGCACCCTCTGTGCGGAGGGGTGCGGGCCGCCCGCCAAGCGCCCCCCCGAAACCGGGCCGCGAGCCGGGCCTCACAGGGGAGGAGACGGGGACCTTTTCACTCCTCCGGAGTCACAGCACCTGCTGCCCGACCCCCTCCCCCGCCCCCCGCAGCACATGGGGAAGGTCTGTCCCCGTCACTGCCTGTCCCCAGGCGAGGAGGGGCTGCCGAGCGGCCAGGCAGGCGAGGGACAGGCCGCGTCTGGCCCCGTGACCCGGGGCCGAGCCTGCGGAGCCAGGAGCCCGCCCTGGGCCAGGCCAGTCTGGGCGGCGAGGCCAGGCCCCGGGGTCTGGCAGCTCCCGAGGGGGCTCCTCTGTGGCGCCGGCCAGGACTGGCCCGTGTGACACCCGCGGCCTCAGACCGGCTTCCAGGGAAGGGCAACCTGTGACCCGCGCTGTGGGGGGGGCAGGCCGCCACAGCTCCCGGAACACTGAGAGGAGGAGGCTCCGTCGCTGGCCCTGGGGGCTCAACTGCCCTGCCCAGTCCGCACCCGCGGCCTCTCCCTTCTCTCCTCCCGCGTGGGGCGCGCCTCCCTCCGAGGCCTGGGTGCCACCCGGACGGGGGTCCGCGGCCTCTGGGTGAGGGGCCAGGGGTTGGCCCCAGCACTCGCCCTGCTTGGGGGGGACTCGGGGTTCCGGTGCTGGGCGCGGGGAGGGGCCGGGGGGGTCTGGGAGCAAACCCGGCTCGGCAGGGACGTGGATGGGTAGTGGGGGTGCTGCTGTGAGGCACAGGTGGAGCACGAGGGTGTAGTGGGGGGCTGGGGGCCCCTGGGGAAGGGGCTGGCAGGGTCCGGCAGAGGTGGGGGGCGCTGGCCGAGTCAGCCTCCTGGTCTTTGCCTCCATCCCCCAGCTCCGGGCCCCGTTGGGGGTGGAGGAGCAGACGACCGCCCGCCAGGGTGGGGGTGACGGCACAGACAGGAGGGGCCCAGCGGGGCCACATAAGGGCCCGTGGGGGCCACGCCTGAGTGGAGAGGCAGGGGCAGCTGGTGGGCCCTCTCTGGTGGGCCCAGACCGTGTGCCGGGGGCCGGGGGGCCCGTGAGGAGCACCAGGGGCTCGGCTGAGGGGCGTCCACCCAGACCGGCCTGTCCCGGCCATGACTCCAGAGAGAAGGGCATCCGACGGACTCCCCCGGAGACCCTCAGGGCCCCCTCTGGCCCGCCCCCTGGCGGCACCCACAGAGGAGGGTGGGAGTCAGGGGTTCAGAGGGGAGCTGGGGGAGGGGAGGGCGTCAGGGAGAGAGGGGTGCAGCGGGGCGCCCTGGCCACTGGCTCTGGGTTTGGACCCTGCTGGTCTGTGGGAGGCCCGTCCTGCTGCCCCGGCCCCAGGAGCCCCGAGTGTGGCCGGGCGACCAGACCGCACCAGGGCCGGAGCGTGGGGAGGGGCCCCACCCCACCCCCACGTCCTCCTGGGCCCTTCCTGAGCCCCGGACCGGCAGAGGACACGCGGCGGCGGCCCCGGCTCGGCCTCCAGGCCCCTCCGGGCAGTGTGGCTGCGCCCTCGGAGCGCTGAGTCCCTCTGCACCCGCGGCCTGAGTGTGACGGACGGGCTGGCCGGCTGGCCGCACCCCCACGGCACCCCCGAGTGGCCCGGCGCTGGGTCGGCTGTGGCTCAGGGCAGGGCCTTTCAGACCCCCCTCAGCCCGAACCCCAAGGTTGCCGGTGCCTCTGCCTCATGGGGCGTCTGGCCCGTGGTGACACCCACGGGCTGGCCTTTTGGATTCCTGAGACCGTCCTCCCCATGGGGGCAGGCGCAGCCTGTGACAGACGGTGCACGAAGTCACCCGTGGGGGTGGGCGGCCAGGGCCACCCCAGAGCAAGGCACCCACCCAGCACCCCAAGTCACTGGCCCCTGGGGGGGTTGTGTGTGCTCCCCCGACCCTGGAGGGAGACAGTGTGAGACCACCACACCCGCTCGGGGCCCTGGCCCTGGCCTCCTCAGGGCAGCGGCTCATCACCCCCAGATCCCCCGGGGGACCAGACGGCCCCCCATGCCGAGCTGCACCCCCCACACACACATGTGACAGGCTCCTGCTGGGGCCTCTGGGGTCTGGCCCCAGGTCGCTGGGAGGCTGGTGGGGTTCAGGGTGTCTTGGGGTTGGCCTGAGGGAAGGGGCCCTGTCCCCAGCACTCCTGCAGGGACAGTGAGACCAGGGACACGGCTGCCAGGGGCCACCAGACAAAGTGACAGACCACCAGCTTCTGGGACGCCCTGTAGAGATGACACAGCGGATTGGGAGCCCCCGGCCAGGGCCACACGGGGCACGTTCAATCCTGGAGGAGCGGCTGTGGCCACCGAGGCAGGGCACCCAGGAGTCCCGGCCTCAGGGAGCCCGGGGGGGCACCCAGGTGTGCCCGGCGCTTTCGGAAGGTCCTGCAGGCGGGTCTGCTGGGGGCACACGGGTGCCTTGGACCCGGACGGCCTCACGTCCGAGGTGGAGGCCCTGCCCCGGCTGCGGTCTGTCCGTCTTTGTCTCCTGGGCTCCCTCGGCCGGGAGAAGCCAGTCCGGCCCCACGATGCGGGCTGCCCCGTCCCCCCGCCCCCCGCGGCCGACCTGCAGGACTGTGCGCCCACACCCCACCTCCTGCTCCCCAGGGTCCAGGTGGAGTTCTACGTCAACGAGAACACCTTCAAGGAGCGGCTCAAGCTGTTCTTCATCAAAAACCAAAGATCCAGTGAGCGGGGCCTGCGGGGAGGGGTCTGCCTTGGGGGCAGGTCCAGCTGTACTTGGGCTGCGGGGAGGCCTGGGCTCCGATGGCAGGTGCGGGGCCTTGGCCAGTGGCCCCTCCCCTGGGATGCGCCCGCCTTCCAACCACAGGAGGTGGGGCCGGACCCCATGGGGCCCGCTGGAGACTGGTGGGCCGTGGCCATTGGGCCACCAGCTTGGCCTCCTTCTGTGGCCCTGCCTGCCTCCTGCCATCACCCCGGGGACTCCCTGGCCCCTCGGCGCGGCCCTGCCCCTCCCCTGCAGGCTCTGTCCACCGCCTCCCCAGCGGGATCCTGGGTAGTCAGACCCTTCCTTGAGGGCGGGGTGGGGCGTGGAGGTCATGCCCCCGAATGCCAGCCCCTGAGTGTACCCCCCCCACCCCCACACCACCTGCCCAAGGAGGGAACGCCCTGCAGGGACTGCCCAGCCCAGCGTGTCCAGGGCGCCGGGAGCTGTCGGCTGGAGACCCCAGGCGGCCCAGCAGCCCTGACGCACCCCCCTCGGCCCCCCCCCAGGCCTGAGGATCCGGCTGTTCAACTTCTCCCTGAAGCTGCTCACCTGCCTGCTGTACATCGTGCGCGTCCTGCTGGACGACCCGGCGCTGGGCATCGGATGGTGGGTGACCCGTGGGGCCCTGCCACCGTCACAACAGCCCCCACTCACGCCCTGGGGCGCCCTCTGCCCAGGGCCTTGGGGGGTCCTTCCCCTCCTGGGACTCCTGTCCCAGTGCTCACCCCCCAGGGAGCCACGACGTCCTGGCCTCGGCCCTCAGGTGCCCGCTGGCCCGCGGCTCTGCATGGGACAAAGGGCGCCCCTGTCCATGGACGGTGGCCGCTCCCTGTGCCCGGTGCTGACATCAAGGCTGGAGGCTGGGCCCTGCCCTCCTACTGGGCACCCTGGGCCCTCGGCTCCTCCCCCGGTCTCCCCTTCGTTGCCCGGGGCACCCGCTGCCTGACTCCCAGGGGCAGGTGGGCAGAGCAGCCGCCTGCGCCCACCCGCAGTAGAAGGTGCTGCTCGGGCCCCCTTCCCTCAGGCCGCCTGGGCCTCCGGCCGCCACGGCTGCTGTTGAGAAACGCGTGTTTCCACGCGGGTCCTGGCGGGGAGCGCGTATCTGCCCCGGTTGCGGGCGGGCCTCCCTGTGCGCCCTGCTCATGGCCCCTGCAGTTCTGGGCCCTGAGCTGGGCCCGCGCACGGCCGGCCCGTCTCTGGTGACCTCTGTGAAGGCCGCGGCTCCGTCCCCGGGCACTCCGGACACCCTGGAGCTCGGGCGCGGGGTTCCGGGAGGACCCTGTGCGCTTCCTGTCCCCCCCCCCACCCCGCGCCTTTCCATCTCGCGCCCTCGCCCAGCGTTTCCTCGCTCCATCCCCCGCTCTCCCGCTGAGCTCCCCTCCCCCACGGTCCTGCTCCCCGGGGCCGGGACTCCTCCCCTCCGGGCGTCAGTTCCCGCCTGGCCCTCCCGTGTGTCTCTGGGCGACGCAGGTCCCTGCTCGTCCGGAGGTCACGCCGAGAGCCTTCACTCTCCTGTCTGACGCCCTCGCTGAGGCCCTGCGGTCGGGGCGTGTGGCCTGGTCATCGCTGCCACCTGGGGGCCGCCTCTCCGGCCGGCTCCTCCGGGTGCGCCCTTCCCTGGGGGGTGGGGCCTGGCCGCTGGGCCCTGGGGCGGAGCCAGGAAGGAGGCCTTTCACTCCCCCCGAGAACCAGGGTCTTCATCCTGGTGGGAGGGCAGGTCCTGCCAAGGTGGTTTGGGAGGAAAACTGGGGGCTTGGGCTGACTCACCCCGCTCTCCTGGGTTCATCCCACTTCCCCGACTCCCAGAGGCTCCTGGGTGCCTGGCCCCGCATCCCTACAGGGGCGTGTCACCATCACACGGCACCTGGCAGTGGTGGGGGGGTGGGGGGCTGGTGAGGGGCTGGTGCATGCAGTTGGGTGGGTGGTGGGTGGATGGATAAAGGATGGATGGTGGGTGGATGGATGGTGAGTGGGTGGTGGGTGGGTGGCCATCCACAATGGCCACAGCAAGGCTCAGAGGAAGCAGCTCATTGGCAGAAAAGGAGAGCTGCCTGTCACCGTGGGCTCTGGGAGAGTGCAGTCCCCTGGGTCAGTGCCCAGTGTTGGTCAGAGCTGGGGCAGGGCCAGCATGTCCGCCGCGCCCCTGCCCCTGCCCCCGAGCGGGCACCTGGGTGGGGAGGCTCATCTTCGGGAGGGACTGAGGGCGGCCCTCCTGGCTCCAGCACCTCCGCCCCCAGCGGTCTGTCCGTCTGCCCAGCAGGCTGCCGAGGGAGCAGGTGGAACCCCAATTCTCTCCGGGGCACCTCTCACTCTGCAGGGGGCACGTCCTCCTCGTTCCACCTGCCCACCCCGTGGCAGACCCTCCCAGCTGCCTGGGACTCCCTTCCAAGATTCACAGCAGTGGCCCTGGGTGGAGAGGGGGCGCCCCGACCCTCCCTGAGCAGCCCTGGGCAGCCCTGGGCAGGGTCCCTCCGGGGCGGTGCCGGAGGGGCGGGGGCCAGGCCGGCTCTGTCTCCTCAGCTGGGGCTGCCCGAAGCAGACGTACACCTTCAATGAGTCGTCCTCCGAGATCAACTGGTGAGTCCAGGGTCCCCGGCCGGCTCTCCGGGGGGCCTGGGGCTGGGTGTGGGAGTGGGAGAGACAGAGGTCCAGGCCGGGCGCCCCGCCTCAGCCCGTGAGCCCCTGGGTTCCCTGAGGACACGCTGAGAGCTGACTGGGCCAGCGGCGGCGGGCGGCACGGGGTGTCCCTGCAGGGCACCCCGAGTCCACGGGCACCTGAGGAGCTGGACGGTCACCGTGAGCCGGCCCGGCCCCCCTCTGAGAGGCTGGCAGGGGGCGGGGAGGGGGCAGGTGGGGCCGGAGATTTGGGCACCCTGCTGGAGAACCAGGACAGCGGTGCCCCACTGAGTCTGCTGGAAGTGTGGCCCCGAGCGACTGGGGACCCCGATCCAGAGGACGGGACGCGTCTCCGGGGCTCGGCCACGCCCCGGTAGTGCTTGTCTCCCGGTCATTCCGGCACCCCCTCGGCCTCCTGCCCCTCCCACATGACTTGACCTCATGACAGCCCCGCGGGGGAACTGAGGTCAGCCCCACCCCTCAGCGACACGTGTGGGAGCTCCGTCCCCAGCGCCAGAGAGAGAGGCCACAGGGGCCGCCCGGGGGCTCAGAACCCCCAGCCCTGCCCCCCTCCCCCGGGCAGCTCGGGCGCCTCCCCGGAGGCCCCTGTCCGGAGCCCGGGCTCACCCCCTCTCTCCCCAGGGCGCCGATCCTGTGGGTGGAGAGGAAGCTGGCCCTCTGGGTGATCCAGGTGAGTGGGGGGGTGCTGCCTGCCCCTTGCCCTCTCCCCCTGGGCCCTCTAAGGCCCCTGCCCGCCCCACAGGTCATCGTGGCCATAATCAGCTTCCTGGAGACCATGCTGCTCATTTACCTCAGCTACAAAGTGAGTGCCCACCCGTCCGGCCCTTGGACCCCACCTGCCCCTGACCTCCGGTCCCGCCCCTGACCTCCAGCCGGTCTCCCTCCCCACCCCGGCCGCTGGGCTCCTAGGGCAACATCTGGGAGCAGATCTTCCAAGTGTCCTTCGTCCTGGAGATGATCACCACACTGCCCTTCATCATCACGGTGGGTGAGCCGCCGGCCGGGGAGCGGGCCACCCCGGGCCCCCGCCCCTGACCCGTCTGCCCCGCAGATCTTCTGGGCGCCGCTGCGCAACCTGTTCATCCCCGTGTTCCTCAACTGCTGGCTGGCCAAGCACGCGCTGGAGAACATGATCGTGAGCCCCGCCCCCGCCCCTGCTGCCCCGCCCCTCCGACCCCGCCCCTGCCCCGCCCCTGCCGCCCCGTCCAGCCCCTGCCGCCCCGCCCCTGCCGCCCCGCCCCTGCCGACCCCAGACACAGCGCCTCTGCCGCCCTCAAGAGACCCGCCCTTCCCGACCCCAAAAAGATGGGGGGAGGTGCCGGGTGGGGGGGGGCACGAACCAGGGCCATGTGTCCTGGGCCCCCACAGACTGGGGCCCCGGCAGACCCTCTGCGGAGCGTCCGAGCAGGTGCCTGTCGCAGGGATGTCAGCGGGCAGTGCGGCCTGTGTGCCCCCGCCCCGCCCCGCCCCGCCCCAAGGGCCCCGGCTCCCCCCCACGCTCCCTGTGCAGGGCGGTGCGGCGCTCCGCGCTGGCCTCGGGCCTGTGGGGGGCCTTTCCACCCCTGGGCCCCAGTCCTCACTCCCCGCCCTGGGCTCTGTGCCGCGGGATGGGTCCCAGCCTTGCTGCCGCCCTGCCCGGCCCCGCAGAACGACTTCCACCGCGCCATCCTGCGGACGCAGTCGGCCATGTTCAACCAGGTCCTGATCCTCTTCTGCACCCTGCTCTGCCTGCTCTTCACGGGGTGAGGCCGCCGCCCCGGGAGGCACCCCCTCCTCGGGCGCAGCCGGGCCCCAGGACCAACCAAGGGGTCACAAAGGCAGCTCGGAGCCCCCTGCTCCTCTGGAGCCAGGGAGACACCGCCCTGGCCTCCTGGACAGCGCCTGGGGAGCGGCGTCCTGGCCTGGCCTGGCCCTGAGCCGGCCGGCGGCCCTTGGGCTTGAGGCTCAGCTGCGAGCGGGTCTGGGAGCAGCCGGAGTCCGGGGGTGGGGGGAGCTGCCCCCCAACGTCTGCTCCTGCTCCTGCCAGGGCTCCGGTCCCGCCCGATGCTGGTTGGTCACCGCTCCCATCCCCCAGCAAGGTCAAGGGGCCGGCCCCACGGTCCTGGAAGGCCACACACTTCCTGCCTCCCCTTCCTCGCTCCCCACACCCCCGACACATGCAGACCTCAGCAGAGCCAGACGGGGCATCCACAGGGTGGATTTGGGCCCCCCCACCAGCGGCCAGGTCATCGCACGGCCCCCGGGGCAGGGGTCCCCGAGCACTGCCGTGTGCTGCCCCGTGGCCTGTGCCGTGGCCCCCGGGCCCTGCCGTCCGCACCTCCCGGTGTGTGGTGGGGACTCGGGTTGAGCGTGGGAAGTACTGTCCAGCTTGAGCCACGTGGGGGCGGACCTCCTGAGTGAGGGCGAGGCCTTGAGTGCTGGGGTGGCCTGCGGGGCTGCTGGCCTGGGGGCCGGGCTCCTCCCCTGACCCCCAGGCGCGCACCGAGCGCAGGCAGCCCGGTGTCCACACCCCTGGGGAGTCACACGGGGCCTCGGGGCCTCGGCTCCGGCGGGAGCCGCCAGCCCAGCTGGCTCAGGGGGCTCAGCCCCGTGTCCTGGGTGGCCCGGTGACATACGCCGAGTCTCTGGGTGACGTGTGGTCCCGTGGGCGGGCAGAGCTCCGGCCCGGGGGGGGGGCCCTGAGGTGGCCGAGGCCGGGCCGCACGCAGCCCCTGACCGCCCGCACTCGCAGGACCTGCGGCATCCAGCACCTGGAGCGCGCGGGCGAGAACCTGTCCCTGCTCACGTCCTTCTACTTCTGCATCGTCACCTTCTCCACGGTGGGCTATGGCGACGTGACGCCCAAGATCTGGCCGTCCCAGCTGCTGGTGGTGATCATGATCTGCGTGGCCCTCGTGGTGCTCCCGCTGCAGGTGAGGCCCACCCCCCCTCCCCGTGGCACAGCTGCCGGCGCTGCTTCCCTGCCACCCGTCCCTAAGGCCAATCCGCTGGCTGAGCCGTGGGGGGCGGGGGCAGGGACCTGGCCCAGCCCCCTCCTGTGCTTAGGTATTCAAACAGGAGGCCTGGAGAGCGGCCAGCTGGTCAACTCCCAAGATGTGGAAGACGGGGGTCCTCTGCTGACCCTGAGCTTGTCCTAGGGGAGCCCCTAGCCCCAGCTGCCCCTGTCCTCCCACTCCGCCCCCCCCGTCCGGAGCGGCCGCTTTCACGGCAGGAAGGTCTGCGTGCGCCAGAGGCAACACCGGAGCCGCGGAGCGCCCTTGAGGCCACCTCGCCACCCCTCCCTCCCCCGGAAGCCCCGTGCTCTGTCCTCCTGTCCTCCCCACTGCCCTCTGGCCGGGGCCACCCCCTCACAGGGCCCCTCCCACTGCAGACGTGGGGTCAGGGAGACCGTAGACACAGGCCCGGGGGGGCTGGGGGCCAGCACCCAGCTCTGCCGCACACACGCACACGCACGCATGCACGCACTTCTCCACGCCTGCCCTCTTCCAGCCTAAAACGACTCCCAACCCCCCCCGCAAAGCTCACACCAGGGGGTGTGGGCCAGGTGGGCGGCGTCCCCAGACCTGCAGCCCCAAGTAGCCCACTTGCTTGTAACCAAGTCCTGGAAGTGTCCCTTCCACCCCTGAGCCTAGATTCTCAACTCCGGCTGAGAATTTCCCGACACATCGCCACCCCCCCATGCCAACTGCAGCCGCCGCCTGCCTCTGTGTGGCCCCGCCCCCTCGGTCCTGCTCAGGCCTCCACCGGCCACCCTCCCCGCCCCCCGTGTCCTCTTGAGCCCCTGGCCGCCCACCCCACCCTGCGCCATCTGGGGGTCTCCCGTCGGCTGCTCCCACAGAGACAGGGCCCCTCTCTGACGTCCCCACTGCCCCACGGTGGGCCCCAGGTGCCTCACTGGGGCCCGCGAGGCCCCAAGCCCAGGCCGCCTGGCCCTCACCCGCTCCCGCCCGCAGTTCGAGGAGCTGGTGTACCTGTGGATGGAGCGGCAGAAGTCGGGGGGCAACTACAGCCGCCACCGGGCCCAGACGGAGAAGCACGTGATCCTGTGCGTCAGCTCCCTCAAGATCGACCTGCTCATGGACTTCCTGAACGAGTTCTACGCTCACCCCCGGCTGCAGGTGGGGCCCGCTCACAGCCCTCCCTGCCGGGCGGGCCCCACGCCAGGGGGTCCCCAGTGCGGGCAGGGGTGGGCTCACGGCCCCGCCCCCGCCCCCGCCCCCGCAGGACTATTACGTGGTCATCCTGTGCCCTACCGAGATGGACATCCAGGTCCGCAGGGTCCTGCAGATACCCCTGTGGTCCCAGCGGGTCATCTACCTGCAGGGCTCCGCGCTCAAGGACCAGGACCTCATGCGAGCCAAGTGAGCCCCCCCAGCCCCGCCACCGCCGCTCGGCCGCCCACCTGCCCCGCCCCGGGCCCCCCACGTCGGGGCCGGTCTCCCTCGGGTTCCGGGAGCGGCTCAGAGTGGAAAGGGGGGGCCAGCACCGCTGGGCCTGCGGGGGAGACAGGCACGTGGGTGGGTTTCTTTTCAAGACAGGCTGGCAGGGTGACTTGAGGTGAGAAGACTGAATTCTCAAGTGGAACTTTCCAGAATGTGCCTGCGCACGTTCTGGGACATCCGGGAGCCCCCGTCGCAGCTTCGCTCCCGGAGAGGGACGTGTCTCCGCGGTGCAGCCTGGGCTGTGCCGGGGCTCGGTGGGCCCGGGCGCCCTCACCCTCCCACCCCCTGACCCCTGGACCCCGTCATCTCGCCTGTAAAACTGGGACAGGAGTCAAGCCCCCTGCCTGCAGGCGGTGGCGGTGGCCGGGGACACAGCCTTGCTGTGACCCAGGGCCTGGCTCTAGCCCCAAGGGGTGGGGAGAGGGGCAGGGGCTGCCAGGGCAGGGACCAGCTGGGGACCGGTGGGCTCCAGGGCGACGCAGCTCAGAGGGCCAGGTCTCTGACCCCCATGTCCTGGGCACTCGGGGACTGGGCTGCCACGCCCCTTCTGCAGCCAGGGGTCCTCGGGCGGGAGGGAGGGCAGTGGAACTGGTCACAGGTCCCCGTCCTTGGGCAGCCCATCCCGGGAGGGACAGGCTGGCGGTCGGGGACCAGCATCTCTGCCAGCAGGTGTCCCCCTTCCTGCCGTGCCGCGGCCCCGCCGGGTTGGTGGGGACACAGGGGACGAGCCCCCGCACAGCGGACTCTGCCCGGAGCCCCGGACAGCCAGGGCGGGCGTGGGGCCGGGCCCCGGTGGCGCTCAGCTCCGTGCTTTGCAGGATGGACAACGGGGAGGCCTGCTTCATCCTCAGCAGCCGCAACGAAGTGGACCGCACGGCAGCGGTGAGTGCGCCGGCCCTGCCCAGAGCCCCCGCTGCTGGGCCCCAGCGCTGACTGACCACGCCCTCCCCGCCCGCAGGACCACCAGACCATCCTGCGAGCCTGGGCCGTGAAGGACTTTGCCCCCAACTGCCCCCTCTACGTGCAGATCCTCAAGCCTGAGAACAAGTTTCACGTCAAGTTCGCAGGTACGTAGGATTGGGGCCACGTGCACGCACAGGTGGGGGCGCCCCTGCCGCGCTGGCGGGCCACAGCACGGGCCAGGAGCGCGAACAGACACGGCCAGAGCGGCGGGCAGAGGGGGCCCCAGGCAGGTCCAGCTGTCGGAGACACTGGCCCTGCCCCTGGGGGCCGGCAGTCAGCGAGGGCAGGTGCACCCGCGGAGCTGGGCACCTGGGGGACGGGTGGGCGAGGTGGGCAGAGGGGGCGGGGAGGGGCGTGCCCTGGGGGCAGCGCTGCCGTCCCGCCCGCAGACCACGTGGTGTGTGAGGAGGAGTGCAAGTACGCCATGCTGGCCCTGAACTGCATCTGCCCCGCCACGTCCACCCTCATCACGCTGCTGGTGCACACGTCCCGCGGCCAGTGAGTGTCCGCCCGCCCTGCGCCTCTCCGGGGGGACCGGGATTCGGGGGGCGGGGGCGCGTGCAGCAGGCAAGGGTCCGGTCCGGGGAGCCGGAGGCTGGGGTGGGGGGACCACGTGTGCGGACCCAGATGAGACGTTCGTCCCAGCCAGAAAGTGGGTTTTGGGGACTCTGAGCGGCCAAGTGGTGGCCCCTAAAAATCAGACCCTGGTGTTTATGGCTTTTGAAAACTGTCCAAGTGACCTCTCAGACCACCCCAGAGGCTCAGACAGACAGGGAGGGGTCAGGTTCGAGCTGGCCTTGCTGGCCTCCCCCCGCCCCGTCAGCAGCTGACCTGGGCGGAGGGGCAGCCACAGTGGTGACGTCCCTGCCCGCCCAGGGAAGGCCAGGAGTCCCCGGAGCAGTGGCAACGCATGTACGGGCGCTGCTCGGGCAACGAGGTGTACCACGTGCGCATGGGCGACAGCAAGTTCTTCCGCGAGTACCAGGGCAAGAGCTTCACCTACGCCGCCTTCCACGCGCACAAGAAGTAGGTGCCCTCGGGGGCGTGGGCTCGGCCACCCGCACTCGGTCCAGGGCGGGGCGGGGCCTCGGGGTTGGACGTCAGAGTCCGCATCAGCCCCAGTTTGCCCTGCCACGTGGCTTCCCCTTTCTGACCTCGGGTCATCGGGTCAAGTGTGCAGGGGGGCGTCCCACACCCTAAGGGAGGGCTCTGCCAAGGGTCTCCCCCCGAACGGCCCTCAAATCCTGGCTCCTAAGACCTGGTCCCGCAGAGCTTGCGTTCCTGGGCGGGGCCCCACTGAGCCACGCCCCCCATGCGGTGGGCGGGCCATCTGAGTCACGCCTTCACCGCAGTGTGGGTGGGGCCCCGTCGAGCCACGCCCCCAACTCTGTGGGTGGGGCCCGCTGAGCCACGCCCTCTCCGCGGTGTGAGTGGGGCCCCGCCGAGCCACGCCCCTCCCCCCCAGGTACGGCGTGTGCCTCATCGGGCTGAAGCGGGAGGACAACAAGAGCATCCTGCTGAACCCCGGGCCGCGGCACACGCTGGCGGCCTCCGACACCTGCTTCTACATCAACATCACCAAGGAGGAGAACTCGGCCTTCACCTTCAAGCAGGAGGAGACGCGGCGGCGGGGCCTCGCGGGGCCGGGCCGGGGCCGGGGCTCCTCCCACTTGCCGGTGCACAGCATCATTGCCTCCGTGGGTGAGGCCCTGGCCCCGGCCGGGCATCCGCCGGTGCTCCCCGGGGCCGACCCTGCTCTGGGCCGGGTGGGAGGGCCAGACGACCCTGCCCGGGGCCCAGCCTCAGCCTGCTGGTCTGTCCAGGGGGGCCACCCTGCCTCCTGCAGGTGCTTGGTCTGCATCCGTGTCCAAATGCCTGCCGGGATGAGGCCACCCTGCGTCAGGGCCACCTGGGGAAACTGAGGCTCAGGTGCCAGACTCCCCTGGGGTGGTGCAGCCGGACAGGACCCCGGTCTCGGGGGCATGTGCTGTGTCCACCTCCTGTGGAAGGCGCTCCCCCAGGGAGAGCCCCAGGGAGGGGGTGCCAGCCGGGTCCCCGCTCTGTTCCAGGCACGGTGGCCATAGACCTCCAGAACACAGAGTGCCCGCCGGCCCAGGGCGGCGAGTGCGGCAAGCTGGCGCTGCCCACGGAGAACGGCTCGGGCAGCCGGCGGCCCAGCATCGCGCCGGTGCTGGAGCTGGCGGACAGCTCGGCCCTGCTGCCCTGCGACCTGCTGAGCGACCAGTCGGAGGACGAGATGACGCCCTCGGAGGACGAGGGGCTGTCCGCGGTGGAGTGAGTGCGGCCCATGGGGGACGGGGCGGACCTGGGGGGAGTGCAGGGTGCCCTGGGAGAGGCAGGGCCAGCGGGCCGAGTCCCCGGGCTCCCATGGGTGGCGGCCCGTGCTCTGACTCAGGGCTTCCAAACAGTGTCAAGGGGGACCCTTTTTGGCAGATGGAAGCTTCTGGGGACCCCTGTACCCAGACCCCACGGCCACCGGGGTGGCTGCCTTCAGCCTGGCCTGTGGAGGTCACAGGGAGGGAGCCCTCAGTGACGTGCCTTCCAGGCCCGGGGGCCACTGGCCCATCCTGAGCTGTCATCCTGCCCGGGGTTGGGGGCCATGTCTTCTCACTGTCCTTCCTGCTGTCCGTCTGTCCTCAGCAACTCTTGGCCACTTGGCCTCGGGCAGCACAGACAGGGCCATGGCCCACTGCCGGCCCGAGTGTCCATCCCTCGCCACAGCCCGTCTCTGCTCCTGGCCTTTGCCACTGGGGTGGAGTATGTGGGCACAGATCCGCCTGGGGGTGGGGACAGAGCTGGGGGCATCGGGGAGGGGGCGACCTGGGGCCTGGCGCCCCCGTGTGGTCACTCCCGCTGGGGTCCTGGGGGGCGCCAGCCGCTCTGAGGCTCCTTGTCCTGCCCCAGGTACGTGAAGGGCTATCCCCCCAACTCACCCTACATCGGTAGCTCCCCCACGCTGTGCCACCTGCTGCCCGTGAAGGCCCCCTTCTGCTGCCTGCGGCTGGACAAGGTGAGTCACCGGCCACTGGCCGGCTCCGGTGGCCTCACTCTGCCAGGGAGCAGTGAGGACAGCCACCCTTGACCCACACTCTGACTCACAGCCCGGCTGTCCAGCCAGCTGCTCTCCCGTCCCCCTGGCCTGTGTCCACGTGAGAGGCCTCTTTTCCCCAGATGTCCCTCTCGTCCCAGGCCGCTCACCAAAGTGGGGACACAGGTGTCTGACCTGCGGGCCGTTCTCCAGGTGGGCTGTTGTCCTAGTGGCCCTCACTGTCCTGCACGGTGACGCTGTCCCCACCGCACCCTGTGTGCGGCTGTCCCCCTGAATCCAGAGCCTCCTCGCCCTCCCTCGGGACTCTTGGTGTTTTTCAAAGCACAGGCGGGTTTGCAGACGTGTTCACGGGAGAAGACAGCATGTGCACTCGGGGCAGGGACACCCGAGGTGACGCGTGTCCTTCTGGAGGCCTCCTCGGTGAGGCCGGCTCGGCCACGTGGCCCCGGGGCTCCGCCAGGCCCCTCCGCCGCAGAAAGCCCCAGCTCTGCCTTTGCAGGGCGCGGGTCCCTGTGGGGACAGGCGTGGGGCTAGGTGACTCGCTGCTCCTCCAGACTGCCCCCCAGCGGGGGGGGGGCTGTGTCTGTGCTCACCTGTGCTCATCTGGGACGGCCTGCTGTGGGGAGCCCCTGCCTGGCGGGGGTCACATGGACTCCTGGCCACTGTTGGCCGTCAGCCCTGGAACCAACCTCTCCTCCAAGGAGCCCCCTCTCCCTCGAGTGGAAATGACACTGGGTGTGGCGGGGAGGGTCGCTGTGTCTGGACCTCTCGCTGGACTGAGCTAGAAAACGTGGACACACACGAACACGCACCCCATGCGTGTGTTCATTTCCGAATCTGCTGAGACCTCGGCGCGCACACGGACACCTCCCTGCCTGCTCCCTGACGTGGCTGTGGGCCGTGGGCCGTGGGCCGTGGGGGGCTGGCTGACTCGGAGCGGCACGCGCAGGGGAGGACGGGAGTCCGATGGCGTGGGCGGCTCCCGCGGGGCGAGGGGCTGATGCCAGAGTCCCGGGCTCCGTCCACTGGAGTCTGGGGGCCCGGGGCCCAGGGCCCGGCCGCAGCCCCGCCGTGAGCACCGGCGCCTCCCCCGCAGGGCTGCAAGCACAACAGCTTTGAGGACGCCAAGGCCTACGGCTTCAAGAACAAGCTCATCATCGTCTCCGCCGAGACGGCGGGAAACGGGCTGTACAACTTCATCGTGCCGCTGCGGGCCTACTACCGGTCCCGCAGGGAGCTCAACCCCATCGTCCTGCTGCTGGACAACAAGTGAGGCGCTGGCCCAGCCGCTGGGGGGCGCCCCGCCCCCTCTGCCCGTCTCCCTCCCTCCTGGCCTCTCGTGTCCCTGTGCCCCCGAGACTGGGAGCCCCGGGGCACCCCACGAGGCACGGCAGCCCAGACCCCCATTTCCCTCCTGGGCCTCAGTTTCCCCCGAGGGAAACGAAGAACAGACCCCTGGCCTCTAAAGGCGCCCCCGGGTCTGACGTGCCCCTGTCCCCGGGGCCCCTGCCCTGCCCAGCCCCGCGCCCCCAGGACGGCCGCCCACAGCCCCCGCTGCCCCGCAGGCCCGACCCCCACTTCCTGGAGGCCATCTGCTGCTTCCCCATGGTCTACTACATGGAGGGCTCCGTGGACAAGTAAGGCTGGTGCCTGGCGGCCGCCCGCTTCTAACAGGGGGTGGGGGGGGCTTGCCCTAGCCCTCCTGCTCCCCAGGCAGGCTGAGCGTGGGGAGGCTGGGGGGAGGGGCTGGCTCCAGGCCCCCGGGCCGCGTGGCTCTCCCGCCAGCCTGGACAGCCTGCTGCAGTGCGGCATCATCTACGCGGACAACCTGGTGGTGGTGGACAAGGAGAGCACCATGAGCGCCGAGGAGGACTACATGGCCGACGCCAAGACCATCGTCAACGTGCAGACCATGTTCCGGTGGGCGCCCCGGGCAGGCCGCGGGGTGCTGCCCTGACCCCTGTCCCCTGCCTACAGCTGCGGCCTGGGACCCCCTGACCCCGCCCGTGACTGCCCCCCCCAGGCTCTTCCCCAGCCTCAGCATCACCACGGAGCTCACCCACCCTTCCAACATGCGGTTCATGCAGTTCCGTGCCAAGGACAGCTACTCTCTGGCTCTCTCCAAACTGGAGAAGGTGAGCGCGCCCCCACCGCCCGGTCTGAGCTGTCAGGTTCGGGGCCTGGGGGGCTGGGCCGAGGAGCTGCGGAAACCGGCACCTGCCCTCCTCCAGCCGGGGGCTTCAGAGACCAGAGACGGGACTCCCATGGGTCTGGGGTGGGGCCCAGGGGCTTGGGGACCAGCCACCAGGGACACAGGCCCCAGCTCTGGAGGTGTCGCCTTGGCACGTTTGCTGCCCCCCACCCCAGCCCCCGCTCAGGCCAGCGGCAGCAGCAACTTCCACTTTGAGGGGCAGGGCCGCGTGTTAGGGCGAGGGCTGCGCGCGAGGTGCCCCGGGTGAGGCCAGGGAGCCGGCGCGTTGCCACAGAGGAGGCCCCCTGGTGGGACACCGTGGGCGACACCTCCACGGATTCAGTGCTCTCGGAGCTCACCGGGGTGCCGCGTCTGCACGCGGCGCGCTGGGCCCTGCTCGTGGGCACCTCCACCGTCCCGCCGCACGCACCCCACTCGTGAACACCCGTCCGGGACAGAATCACTGAGGCCACTCAGAACGGCAGGGCGGCCCCAGCAGAGGGTCGCACCGAGCACGGGGCCCCGTGCGGCTGCTGGGGCCGCGCCCCTGAGCCCCACTTCTCAGCAGAGCCCCGCACCCTCAGCCCGGGCCGCAGTGCGCCCGGCGGGGACTCGTGGCTGGGCGCTCGGGCCTGTGCTCAGCTCCGCCGGTGCGCGTGCTCACGTGCACGCGTGCAGGCCCCATGGTTGCCACACACGTGTGCGCCGCCCGGCTGAGCCCCGCTCTCCCGCAGAGGGAGCGGGAGAACGGCTCCAACCTGGCCTTCATGTTCCGCCTGCCCTTCGCCGCCGGCCGCGTCTTCAGCATCAGCATGTTGGACACGCTGCTGTACCAGGTCCGCGGGGGGCGGGGGTGCCCACAGTGCCCGCCGGGGTGCAGCCGGTGTGGGTTCCCCGGGAAGGTGGACCAACCCTGGGTGGCTCTGAGTCTCGTCCCGCCCTGAGCTCCATGGGGACTCACCTCTAAATGTCCCCAGTCCTCCTCCCAGAAGACATGCCTGGGATCCCTTCTGACCTCAGCCACGAGGGGAGTTAGGGACCGAGGCCAGGCAAGGCCCCTGAGCTCCATCTGCTGGCTGAGTTGTTCCCTGGGCCAGGCGGGGGATGGGGAGGGGGGTGGGGGGGGCATCTGTGTGCCAGCTCGGGAGGCCGGGGGCGCCTGGCCGGCGTGGCTCCGGGAGGGCACAGCCGGCCTCACCGCACCTCCCTCCCGCAGTCCTTCGTGAAGGACTACATGATCTCCATCACCAGGCTGCTGCTGGGGCTGGACACCACGCCGGGCTCCGGCTACCTCTGTGCCGTGAGTGAGCGGCGGGGCCGGGGGTGCGGGCTGCCGCGGGAGGCTTCCGGTCGCCGCCCCGGCTCGGCCCAGGGTGTCCCCTGCCGGCCGCCGCCGGCCCCGCTCAGGGCGCCCGACCCTTTCAGATGAAGATTACCGAGGGCGACCTGTGGATCGGCACCTACGGCCGCCTCTTCCAGAAGCTGTGCTCCTCCAGCGCCGAGATCCCCATCGGCGTCTACCGGACCCAGAGCCACGTCTTCGCCACCTCGGAGGTTCGCGGGCGGGCGGGCGGGGCTCCAGGGGGCGGGCGGCCCCCCGCTTCTCCGGGTTGTGGGACCATCCCTGTCTGTAGTTTGGGGTCCGGTCCACGTGGGGCGTCTGGTGGGGCCCCTGGGCCTCCCAGAACAGCAGTGGCGGCCTGGCCCGCCGATCCCACAGGGGCTTCGGGCAGCGCTGGGGGGCAGGCAGAGGCAGCCCAGGCACCCAAGTTGCCCCTGGTTCCCTTTGCAGCCGCACGACCTCCGAGTCCAGGTGAGCCGCCCCCGCCCCGTACGCCTAACACTGAGGGGTCTGCAGAGGCCTGCCTGGGCCCAGACCCCCGCCCCGAGCCTGGGACGGGTGCAGACCCTGGGTGGCACCGGCGTGTGCTGGCCGCGGAGCAGCTCAGAGGCTCGTGGCATCGGCCTCTGTGCCGATGGGGACACTGAGGCCCAGGGGGGTGAGGACCCCCAGGCTCCCCAGCCACACGGGCCATCGGCAGGGCGGGTTCCTGCCCTCCCCCACCACTCTGGCCCGGCCTCCATGTCCCCAGCCCCCTGCTTCTTAAGGTGCCGAGTGGGGGGAGGGTTCCCCACATCCCCCCCAGAGCCCCCACATGCTCACGGAGCCAGGCACAGGCCCTATGCTTCCCAGCCCACCATGTTTCGCACCCCGGCTCCTTCTGCCCCACAAAGTGGGGAAACCGAGGCACAGAGAGGCATGACCCTCCATGGCAAAATCGGGACATGCCGGGCCCGGAGGTGAGGGAGCTGCCCTCGCCCCCAGCACATGGTGGACAGGTGCCAGGGTGCATGGGTGCCAGGGGCTAAGGAGGGGGCTCGGCCTGGCCCCCTCTGGATGGAGAAGGAGGGCACTTGTGTCCCTGGGCTCGGGGGCCCCCCTCAGGAGGCAGGGACTGTCTTCCTCCCCGCCTCCACCAACGGCTCCCCAGCTGCACCCCCACCCAGTCCCTCGGCCTCTGCCCTCCGTCCCTCACCCCCCTGCCCCGGACAGTCCCAGATCTCGGTGAGTGCGGACGACTGTGAGGACACGCGGGAAGTGAAGGGGCCCTGGGGCGCGCGGGCAGGGACCGGTGGCACCGGCGGCAGCAGCATGCACGGCCGGCACTCGGTCGGCGGCGACCCGGCCGAGCACCCTCTGCTGCGGCGCAAGAGCCTGCAGTGGGCCCGCAAGCTGAGCCGCAAGAGTCCCAAGCACGCGGGGAAGGCGGCGGCCGAGTGGATCAGCCAGCAGCGGCTCAGCCTGTGCCAGCGCTCCGAGCGGCAGGAGCTGTCGGAGCTGGTCAAGAACCGCATGAAGCACCTGGGGCTGCCCACCACCGGCTACGGTAAGGACGGACGGACGGACGGCCGCCCGCCACGGCCCCCGCCTCCCAGCTGTGCGTCTGTCCGCCCGCACACACTGGCCACGGCTGCTCGGAGCCCTCCAGCGTGGGACCTGCTGGGCCAGTGCCGAGCCCCTAAGGGAGGGCTCAGCCCCCACTCTGGGCCTCGGTTTCCCCATCTGCAGCTGGCGGAGCCTGGGGTGCAGGGGGAGGAGGCTGCAGGGTGGGGAGGGCCAGGGTGGGCTCCCTGGAAACCGCACGGAGCACAGGTTTTGGTTGGGGACGGAGGGGCCACCTCGAGCCAGGCCCGCCGGTCATCGGGGCCGGGGGGCCGCCGTGTGCCCGGCGGGGAGAGCCCGGGAGCCTCCCTCGCCAGCCCACCCAGCAGCCAGCGCACCCCCCGGTGGCGGGGATGGGGAACAGCATGGAGACCCTGCCGTGGGCCTCAGGGAAGCCCTGGTCTGCCCCTCCCCCCGCAGTACAGCCACCCCACTCCTGCTGCGTCAGGGGGACCGTCACCGGCGTTGGCAGGCGCAGGCTGCCCCTTCTCTCTCTCTTGCTTGCTTGGGAGAGAAGTTTGTGAGCTTCGCCGAGGACAGGCCTGGCTCTCGTGGGTCAGTGCTCCCTCCCTCTGGACGCTGCCTCTGACCCGGGGTCCGAGGGCCCAGCTCCCCGCTGCTGCTGCTGCCGCCGCCACCGCCGCCGTGCCCACACCCTGGGCTGTGCCAAGGCTCTGGCCTGTGCTGGGTTCCTCTTGGGGCCTCTGCGATCACTTGGGCCTGGCTCTGTCCCCTCCCCCCACGTGCTTCCTGCCGTCTGTCCCCTGGGTCGGAGCCCGTGAGCCCCCTTCCCAGTGAGATCAGCTGGCCCCGGGGTCTCTCAGGCCAGACTGTTCACTGGCTGTGCAGCCCTGAGCCCACGTGGGACTCAGGGTTTGGGGGACAGGTGACACATGAGGGCCAGCCCAGCCCTGTCCCCATCACACCCCAACTACACAATTCACCTCTGTCCCCTCCAGTGTCCCTGCCTGGGTGGGTGCTGTCACCCCTTCCAGGGGGAACTGACGCTGAAGCTCCCAGCCGGTGTCCCGTGTTCCCAGTCCCACGGCGAGCGTGGGCAGGTGGAGATTCCAGCCCGCCGACTCCCGGAGTCCTCAAGACCCCCCCCACCCCCACCGCCACCCCAGAGCTGGGAAAGAAGGAACAGACATTCAGTGTAGACCTGCTTCCCAGGCGGCCAGCGCCGGCCACTGGCGCCCTGCGCCCCGCTGCAGCTGGCTGCCCCCGCCCCGCTGCGCCGGTCGCGTGCTGCTTGCTGACCTCTCTCTCTCTCTCTGTTTCTGTCTGTCCCTCTTCCTGTGTGTTCCGTAGAGGATGTAGCAAATTTAACAGCCAGTGATGTCATGAATCGGGTTAACCTGGGATATTTGCAAGGTAATTCTGCTCCGGCCACAGGCAGCCCTGTGCGAGCCCCACCCCGGCCGGGCCGGCGGACAGGACACCGGAGAGGGTCCCTGCAGGCAGGGCCTCGGTGCTTCCAGATCCTATGGCAGGGACCTGGCTGCCCCTCGTCCGCAGCGGCTGCTGGTGACGGGCTGGCCCGGGGGTCTGTGGCTGGCGCCGGTCCCATGGCAGCCCCCGGGCCACCCCTTGCTTCCTCTCCTGCTTGCTAAGCCCTGCACCGCGGCTACCCTGACCATGCAGGAGCGCCACCCCAGCCTGCAGCTGCCCCCTAGGGACCCAAGGACCCTGAGCCCCCACCCCAGGCCTCCCTCGGGAAGTATCTGGATGGTGGTCCCACGCCAGGGTCCTCCCGCGTGGCGGGGCATGGTTCCCCTGGGAATGGGTCCGCTCCGCCCAGAGACTCCCTGGGCCGCCCCGGCCGGGCGGGTGGCCGACGTCCTGCCCTGAGAGCCAGGCAGAGTCCAGGCCACAGGCCTCGCTGCCGAGACCCCTCCCTTCCCTGGGGGAGACTCCGCGTGGCCCCAGGGTGTCCAGGAGCTGACAGGCCTCCTGGGCCCAGGGAGCATGAGCTCGGGGGAGCTGTGGGGCAGGCCTGGGCCCAGGCACGGCGCCTCCACGGTCCAGGGGCTGCAGGGCTGGCGTCGGCATCCAACCCCAACCCTCGCTTCGTGCTTTTCCTTCCTCGACACCCGTCCCTGGAAGACCCAGGGCCGCCCGGGTCGGTGTCTGGTGGCTTCCACGAACGGTGGCGCTGTCGCCCCCTTCCTGCTCCCCGCTGAGGCCCCTGGTGGGGGTGCCACCCCCACAGGGTCACCAGGACACGGTGGTGTTTGCTGAGCACCCCACCGTGTGTAGGCGCTGGGGGGGTGCCTGGGCCAAAGTGCAACACCAGAGGGGAGGCGTGATCTTGGGGGGTGACCCCATTAGCGGGGGGTGACCCCATTAGCGAGGGCTGCAGGGAGCCCCCTGAGGGTGTCTACATGATGCCCCTCTGCCCTGCAGAGCCCCCAGCCCCGACCGCTCCTGACAGCCGCTCGGGGCGGGGGGGGGCACCCCAGCGACCCCCACCCGTAGAGCAGGAAACTGGGGAGGTGCGAGAGCACAGGGTAGAGGCCCGGGGCCGGCATCCCCCGAGGAGGCCTGGAACTCTGGTCGGTGTGAGGGTGAGGGCAGGCCGAGGTCTGCCCAGCCCCCTGACACCACCCTGGGCACAGCGGGCTCGTCCTCCTGAGTGAGCACACCTACCCTGGCACTGCAGCCCCCCGCCCCTGCACCCCTGCACCCCCACCTGCGCCCCTACAAGCACAGCTGAGCCCAGCTCCACCCAGTCTTCTGCAGCCAGGACGCCAGGGCCCGGCTGCCCGGGGAGAAGCAGGCCGGAGGCGGGGGAGGCGGGGGGGGGGGCTCAGGAAGACAGGTGTGAGCGAGCGAGTGAGTGAGCTCCCGGCTCTCAGCAGAGGGCCCCGCCTGGACCCCTGCCTCTCCGTTCACATCACCCATCAGCGTGGCCAGAGCTGATGGCTGTGGTCCGCCGTGCAGGGTCCCCAAGAGCTGCCTTGCCCGCACCCCGCCTTGTACCCAGCTGCTGCACACTCCAGATGCCCGTCTGTGCGCTGCTTGCCCCCCCAGGAGATGCATGTGGGGTGCGCGGGGCCAGGAGGGGCCTCCCCACACAGCCTCCAGCACGAGCCAGCAGTCGCAGCTCCCGCCAAAGGGTCCCGGAGCTGGGAGACAGCCCAGGCCCACCTGTGCCATACCTGCCTGCCCCCTGTCCCCAAAGCACGCTGGGCCCCACCTGCTGCTGTGGCATCGGGTCCCCCTGGGACCCATTTGGCTTGAACGCTCCAGCTCGGTGGAGCTGCAGCCCCTGCCCCTCTGGCTCACGGCAGCTGCCCGGCCCTGCAGAGCTCTGTCCCCTCGCCAGCGGCCCCGGCCTCTCCACTCCCGCCAGGGGGAGCTGGGGGCAGAGGCACCCAGGACGGGACCTCTCTGGAGGGCTGTCCCCGTGGTAGCAATCCTGGGTCAGGAGGTGCCCTTCTTTAGATGGGCAGACAGAGGCCACGAGCCTTTGTCTCCCCGCCAGAGGACCCAGGCCGCTGGCGGCATGGTGGCCGGGGAGAGAGCCGTGAGGTGACCACTGTTTCTCCAGAACCCGTTCTTACTCCCTCAGGTCCCACACCTCAGCAACCCAGGGAGCTGCACACCGGGCTGTCCCCTGCATGCGCCAAAGGGCCCCTCTGAGCTGACAGTCACGGGAGCAGGTTTTGGGAAATAGGGGACACGAGTCCAAGCAGGTGGCTGAGTGAGCGCAGCGGGGGTGGCCTGCCTGGGCCAGGCGCACGGGGCCCTGGGGGTGGGGCAGGCCTGAGGGCTGGGGGGAGTGTGAGTGCAGGTGTATACAGGTGTGTGTTGTGTGTGTTGCCTCTGGCAGGTGTGCACTGCTGCCCACTGGTCCGTGCCTGTGGTAGGTGTGGTGGGTTGTGTCTGCCAGTGTACAGGCGTCCACAGGCACGTGCAGGTGGGCGGCTGTGCGCAGGTGTGTGCATCCGTGTGCAGGGTGTCGGGTGTCCACCGTTTGTGCAGGCAGTAGTTGTGTGTAGGTGTGTAGCTGACTGCGGGTGTCGCGGGCGTCCACTGATCTGTGCAGGTGGCACGTGCAGGTGTGCTGCGGCTGTACACAGGTGTGTGCGGGGCCCACCGGTTTATGCCCGTGGCAGGCGTGTGCGGCGAGCTCGGTGCCCGTGCTCAGGGCAGCCACAGCCGTGAGATGCTGGGTGCTCGGGTTAAGCAAGCTCCCCGGCGTGTGGGCTGGAGCCGGCGCCCCTGCCCCTCAGGACGGACCCCGCCTCTGCCGGCCGGCACCCCGGTGCCAGGGACACGTGTCCGTGAGGGAGTCACCAGGTCAAGGGGCTCAGGCAGGATGACCAGAAAGAGAAAGGGGGGGAAGCTTCCACAGCTGACCAGAGCTCCTGGCTCCCCAGGCTGGGGAGAGAGGAGGTGGGCCGGGGCTGAGTGGCCACCTGACCGTGCATCTCCTTTGCAGATGAGATGAATGACCACCAGAACACCCTGTCCTATGTCCTCATCAACCCCCCGCCCGACACGAGGCTGGAGCCCCACGACATCGTGTGAGTGCCCCATCCCGGGCAGCATGGACACCGCCCTGCACCCCAACACCGAGCATGCAGCCACCCAGGCTGGCTTCCCTGCCCGGGGCTGGCACTGATGCCCGGGGTCCCCCGCCCCACCCGCAGGTATCTCATCCGCTGTGACCCTCTGGCCCACGTGGCCAGCAGCTCCCCGAGCCGCAAGAGCAGCTGCAGCAACAAGCTGTCCTCCTGCAACCCCGAGACGCGTGGCGAGACGCAGCTGTGAGCCGCCCCCCAGGGCCGCCCGGCCAGCCGGCCTGCGGCACGACGCATGAGCACGCACGGACCTGCCCCCAGCCCACCGCCACCTGCGGCCGCTCCCAGACGTGACCGGGAGAGGAGACCTCGCACGCGCAAGGGGAGGCTGCAGCGGGAGGCCTTTTTTAACCTGTTTCTACGAATCTACACGATCCGTGTCTCTCCGCAAACGTACCACAGCCTGTGACCAGGCAGCTGGGTGCGGGCACGGAGGCCGGGGCTGGAGACACACCCAGCTCACTGGATGGGAGAGCCGCGCCGCACCGTGCCACGCACGCCCAGCCCGAGTTTCACGTCTAGGCCGTGGGGCTTGCCCACACTCCTGTGTTCTCTGCTCCATGGGTCCCAGCTGGCCTTGGGCACAGGACTGTCAAGGTCTGGGCTACAGTCGGGCCGCGAGGGGCTGCCCTGCCAGCGGGGGCTCCGGCACCGGGCAGCAGGCCAGTAGGCCAGCAGGGAGCCCCGCCCAGCAGAAAATCAGAAGCACAGGAGGGCCCCGCCGCTTGGCCAGGAGGCCGAGGACGCGAGAGAAGGGTGGTGGGCCGCTGGGAGACCCCCCTGAGGGGCTTGGATGCATCGGGGCCCCCACAGCGGTGACTTGGGCCTTTTCCCGTTTTGCACTGAGCTTCCCCAGCCGCGGCGTTCCTGGGCACCGGGCAGAGAACAGTGCTTTCTGAGGCCTGTCCGATGCCCTTTTAACACCCCATCTGAAGCACAAGCCAGCCGCTGGGCTGCTGGCGCTGTCTTTGGGACCAGAGTTCTCTCATCGAGGGAGGGGCTCTGGGCGGCGGGCACCCCGGTGCCGCAGTGGCGCCCTCGTGACGGACAGGTTTTTGCACGGTCAGTGCAGCACCTTCTATTAAACGGATGCTTTCTGCAAGTGTGAGGACGGTTGCGAGGTGTCCCCTCGGCAGCCTCCTGCACCAGGCCTGGGGCTCCCCTCCCAGCCGCCCCGGTTTCAAGAGTTAGACTACCTGCTGAGACACCTCCCCACGAAGGCCCAGGCCCCAGGGAAGGCCACCAGCCTGGCCCCACCTGGAGCAGGAGGCAAGGCCTCTGTGGTCCTGGTGGTGGGGAACCATGGGGGGGGGGCTCCCTGGCAAGTTGCCCAGCCCTGGAGGCCAGGGGAGCCCCGGGGGTGGGCATGGGGACCCAAGACTGCGGGGTCACCGGGGACAGGGCCACCCGGGGGGAAGAGTGCGCCTCGCCCGCACCAGGGCCTGCAGCCTTGCTCACACAGCACCCCAAGCGGCCACAGCGGAAGGCCCAGTGCACCTGCAGGGCGGGGGTGGCCGGGGACAGCTTGAGCAGTAAACGGGCCGAGCCCGGGCCGAGGGGCGATGTGGCCCAGGGGCCTGCCTTCCCCCTGGGGCAGCCTGGGACTTCCCGTGCTGGCAGTGTGGACAAGCCCTGGAACGGTGGCCCTGGGGTGGGGCGTCAGGAAGGGGCTGGGAAACCCCCGAGCTCTTCATGGAGCGATGGGTTGCAGATGTGGGTGAGGGTGGCCACTGGGGACCAGGGCCAGCCCAGCGGGGTGTCAGTGGCTGCTGGGGTTCCCTGTGGCCCGTCACCCGCACAGTGAGCCTGACAGCTCTCCTGGCACCCCTGCCCCAGCTCCCCGGGGGAAGGGCACACCGGCAGGGGTCACTGGACAGGGCTCCATCGGGTGCTGCAGCCCCCGAGCCCCACACTGGGAAGACGCTGCCCCGGGGAGTCGGTGGACTCGAGGCTGCCGTGGGTGGGCTGGGGCGGTGGGCCGCAGGCTCCCCGCAAGCCGGGACGGGTGGCACCCTCACACCATACACCCCATAAGGAGATGAGAGGTCCTGGGAAGGGGGAGGGAGCGAACACCAGACCCCGCCAGCACCCGGCGCGGCCAGGAGAAGGCGACCCCAGCATTTCGTGGCCGAAGTTTTCAACACAAAATCGGTGGCAAACCTGTTTCCCTCATTCCCAATCTAACGGGAGGCTGTTCGCCCACAGCAGCAGACCCCGCGCCGTGCTGGGCGACTTCCGCTGGTGTGCAAGCGGGGACAGGGTGTCTGTGGCCCCCCCCGAGGCCTGGCGGTAAGGCGTCCACGTGCCCCACAAAGCACTCTCAACTTCCGTGAGTCTGAATGGAAACCACAAACACCCCAAAATCTCAAAAACAAGTACAATTGAGATCCTGGGAGAGGACAGGCTACAGTACCCCTAAAACGCTGACGGAAACCAGACATGGTGGGCACAGAGCAAGGAGGGGCAGACGAGGTTGTGAACAGCAGGTGGGGGCAAGGTGCTGGCCAAGCCACCCACGCCCGTGTCCACGCCCGGGCCTGAGGACATTGGTCGGAAGACAGAGCCACAAGAGGATGGAGAACGGGGCCCCCACCGCGGGGGGACGAACACGGGTGCTGTTGGGGCCTGAGATTCGGCCCCCACGGAACCACGGAGGCAGGCACCCCTGCTCTAGAACCTCACCTTTATCCTGGTGCACACCCTGATGGTCTCAAAGGTGCCTTTCCTTTCGGGGGCTCCAGTTTGAGTCAGGGGTCTTGGAGGCTGCTCGTGTCTTGCTGGGCGGACGTCTCGACAGTCCTGCAGGGCAGAGAGCACGCTGCATCCGAGGTCCAGGGCAGCGGGCTGAGTGGTTCCGAGTCCAGGACCTCAGCCAACTTACCTGGGGCTCGGGGAGCACCTCCTGGCAATCCTGGCCCCCAGGGCGGTGGTGGGCCAGAGCCGCCTTCCTCCTCAGTGAGGTCAGCAGGAGCCTGAGGGCAGCTGGGAACACCTCAGGGTGGGCCCCCCAGCCTGAGCCTGCCCACCAGCGGCCGGGCCAGGCCCTGCAGCTCCCCCACCTGAGCCCAGTGTTGCTGCTGTCTTCCGCCTTGCTCCCGTCACAGAATGCTAAGCTGCGAAGGACACCATTAGGTCTGGCCTGGAGCCCCAGGCCTTGAGGGTGGCTGTCCCTGTCCGTGGCGCTGCAGGGGCCCCTACCTGGAAGGGATGGTGGTTCAGTCTCCTGAGCCACAGACCCAGCAGGCCCCACGCCGTGCTCTGTGGCCCCCCTGCAGCAGAGGCCATTCTGGCCCCGCCCAGCGCACGCGGTAGGCCCGGCCGGGTATGGGGTGCCCTCCTCTCTGGGGGAGATGCCCGTCCCCAGCAGCCCCGCCTCCACGGAGGGCCACTCTCGTGCCACCGCTGCCAGGGTCCAGCAGGCCCCAGAGGACCCACCCTCTTGCAGGCAGGGCAGTCTCTCCCCCTGGTCAGCAGCTGGAAAGCTGGACGCAGGCCCCTCCCGGGAAGAGGCAGAGGCAGCAGGAACTGGGACCTCCAGCACCTCCTGTTGGGGCGCCGGAGCACGGCCGACCCCGCAGCGGCCACCACGACAGCCGCGCAGCCTGTCTCGCTCCAGGGTTCGGGGAGGCGGGGCGAGGCCTGCCCTCACAGCGTACGAACCTGCCGTGGCGCACAGACCTGTGGGCGATCTGGAGGCATGTCCAAAACTCTCCCCAGGGACAGAGGCCCAGACACCTGGGACATCGAGGGGCGGCCGCTATGTCCAAGTTTGCCGGAAGGTTCCGTGTGCTGACCGGCCCCACTGGGGAGACCAGGAGTGGGCGGGAGGGTGCCGCCAGCACGCCCACAGCTCCACGGAGAGAGGCGCCTCGGGCCGGGCCTCCCCGCAGTGGGCCCAGGGCCCCTCCCAGAGGCCCGCCCACCCCGGGCTGCCTCTGGACACGCCCTGGGTCTGCCTGCAGGACAGTCGGCAGGGCTGTGTCCCAGGAGGAAGACACTGTCGCCCACTTGGCTCCACAGAGGAAGAGGCGATGTCATTTCGAAACTCCCCTAAAGCAAGTAGCTGGGGACGCTGACCGAGGAAACGAGCTGTGACCACCTCACACACACACACACACACACACACGCGCTGGATAGAAAGCAAATCAGGTGCTTTATTACAGTTTAGTGCTCTCTTAAAATAAATACCATAGAACATCAGACAGACGGGGGGACGACGCACGCCGGTGCAGAGCACGTGACGGGGGCCATGGGCCACTCAGCCCCCCCCCCGGCCACAGCACCCCTGCAGGCACAGGACAGGGCCAGGGCTGACACCGTACATGCAGGACTGCAACCAGCCGTCCCGTCAGAGCCGGGGGACACTGGGGAGCCTTGTCCCTCCTAGGGTCCGGGCCCCTCTCTACCTAAAACTAGGAGACATTCACACTCGCCTGACGTCCTTCCCACTAGCGTTCCGTCTTGTTCTGCAGTGCGAGACAGATTCAAGTAACACTCCCAAGAAAGTATGTGCAAAACGAACATGAATGACTCCAGAACCTTCCAGCAGTCGGAGCGGCTGGCTGCCGTGCAGGTGCCGGGGCGGGGCTGCGCGGGCGCCGAGGGAACACCTGCTCCGGAGAAACGTGAGACCGCGCGGCCCGGGGAGCTCCGAGAAAACCGCCAGTGGCCGCTGGATGGTTCTCGGTCCGCGGCCAGCGACCGGCGTGGACCGAGGCCCACGCGCCTCCAGGGCTCGCCGCCCTGCCAGAAGCAGGAGCCGGGACAGATGAGTCATGACAACAGAAGCACTAAGAGAACTGTCACTCGAGTGTACCACCTCTGAAGAGAAACATGCTGAGTGAAAAATGCTCTACTTGACCCGGGCCTGTCTTTATTGGAGTGAACACACCGCCGGAGCACTGCCCGAACTCGGGGCCCCGGCTGTCGGGCGGTCCTCCCTGCACCGTGGCCGGGACCGAGACGCGGCAGAGACGGGCCTGCGGACTCCAGTGCTTTTGTGAACTGCTGTTTTCAGTAAACTTTTTCTGAGCAGCAAAGAACAAAAATCATTTTCAGAAATCCCAGGATCGGGTATAAACGTTGGCAGTAGACACAATCAATAAATATCGCACGTCTCCCAAGTGAACGAGACCCCGTATGAGTTCCTTTCCTGCAGACGCCCGAGCACCCCGGCCGACCGGGCGCCGTCTCCGTCCTCCTCCCTCACGAGGGCCCCGCCGCCGCCGCCGCTGCCGCCGGCGCGAGGGGCCGGGCCGTGTGCAAGGGGGTGAGGCGAGAGGCCAGGAGGCCGAGTCAGTCACTGTCAGTTTACACCGAAGAACTTCAAGTAAAAGGACCCCTGCCCCACGCACGCCCCTTGCCAGGCAGCCTGGGGGCGGCGGTGACCACAGCGGTGGTGGGACCCGGCGCGCGTCCCTCCGTGCCAGCCCCGCCCGGCGTGCCGCGCGGGAGGAGGGAGGGGCGGGTCCCCGCTGCCGCTGAGGAGCCGCTTCGGAAAAGGTCTGTGGCTCCTCACCCTTCGCGCCCGAATGGCGGAAGCACGCACGGGCCCACGGCACCTCCTCGGCCCGCGCGCGGCGCGTCACTTGCGCGTCTGGGACTTCTTTGGCACGGCGGGCCGCTTGGGCTGCCACAGGTGGTTGTGGATCGTGAGCGCGTCCACGCTGACGGACATGGTCTTGGCGGGGATCAGGTTGAACTGCTTCCGGTCCGAGCTGTACTTGTACAGCTTGTCGATCATCTTCTTGGTGATGCTCTTCGGGCCCGTGCCCGTGAGCTTGTAGATCTCCTCGGTGTCGGGGTAGTAGCAGTAGAGCGCCCGGAACTGGCAGCCGGCGTCGCGGAACAGGATGATGTAGTGGTTGGCGTCGCACTTCTCCAGCTCCTGCACCGGGGCGGGGAGACACAGGGGAGCCTCAGAGCGGCTCCGGGGCCGCCCCACCCGCTTGGACGCGCCGGGTCGCCCACGTAGGGGGTGTCGGATGTCACTGAGGCTTTACTTACACACGCCTTGCAAACTAAGTGAAAACTCACAAGGAAAGAGGCCCGATATCATGAACCACCAGGGAAATGAAACCACCACAGCGAGACCCCATCCCGCACCGGGCGGCTGCAGCCAGACGGGCAGCGGCGCCAGGAGGCCGGA